CCACAGGTCTCTCTTGCACTTTGGAAGAACCCATTACCCATGCAATGATTTGGACATGAAGCATCGGCTTACAAATTAGTGGTTCACTTATTTTTGCAAATCTTCTAAAATATTGACATACAATACTGAAAAGTCACAATGGTTATTACCACAGAATTTGTAAGAGTCTGAAGTATTGGGAACAGGTCAGACCCCTGGGAGCAAATTTAAGCTTTCCAACATTCTCGTTTTCATTTGAAAGCTCAAGTTTTATTACCAGCAACTATGCGTTGTTTTCCTTGAAGTGACATTTTGTTCATTTTTGAGAAAATATCTGCCAGAATAACCATAACATATGTTATTCTTTCATGTAAAAAGGATGTTCCTTTCAAAAAAAAAAGAAAAAAGAAAAAAAAGTAGCTAGTTCAGCCTGAAAAATGAAAGTTTTCCTCCAGAGAACTACTGTACTTCAGTGAAATCACACGTGCTTCATAGATACTCCCCATTTACTCACACTCAATGTTAAAGAGTAAGGATTTAATAAACTTGGCCTTTTTTTGTTGCTTCACCAAGGATATTGACTGAAACGAGTGTGTTTTTGCCGCGAGCATGTGGTGATGAACATGTGGGCACTAAGGCGCTTTGGATTTTGGCTTTGATGCATGCTAGGGTGCTAGCAGAGTTACCCAACATCACCACTGAAAATTCAACACAGTCAGAAAGGCAAATCACAATTCACGGACATTAAGAAACATTTCATCTTGGGGCACCTGGGCGTCTTAGGGGACCTTCAGGGGTTCAAGGTCCACACTTCAGACACCACTGTCTGATGCTAATCATGGCCCAGCCCCAGAGCCCGGATTAAAGCCAACTTCCCCGAAATAGGGCCTTGGCTGGGGAGGGATGGACATCTGATCCGAATGAAAATCCTCAGGTCAAGAGGCGAACAGGGCCATGGATGTACAAACATCCACTAACAGAAGCACAGGTGAAGAACTAGAATGTTATTACAACTCTAACCTCTAGGCGAGAAAGTTGGAAAGAGACGTTCAGATTTCATCCAATATATATTTTTTAAAGTATTATTTAGGTCTTTTGGAACAAGGATGCCTGTTTTAGTTTTACAAGTAAAAAATAAAGGCTTGCATGGTAGCTGACCAATAGAGGCAGAGTACTGGGCTGCAATTTTAGGTTGTTGGTGAACAGAAGGTATTCTTGTTCGGGATCTTTCCTGCACTCACAGTGACACAAGTGTTTCCCTTTGTTTCTAAGGGCATCACATCCAGATCAGCACCCTGTTACCACCTGGACAGTCAATTTACACTACCTAGGACAATTAAAAAAAAAAAATTTTCAAACCTTTCAGTAGTTTTCCAGACCCTTTGGGATAAGGTCTAAAATCATTTACATGTATCGTAAGTCCCACCGTCATGTGGTTCTTCCCGATCTTTCCTTTCCTGACTCAACCCCTACCATCTTTGTCTCCTTCCCTTGCCCCACTTACTTTCTCCACCGATAGTTTTCAAGAACTATTCCATGGGGAATCCCTGAAAATATGTAAAGATGTGGTCATGAGTAGTTCTAAGGACCTGACTTTCAGATGCTTAACTTTCCTGAAACTGATCTGCCTATGAAGACTCCTGGGAGTCCAGACCCACCTTGCATTTCACAATGGTCCCCACCCACTTGGTCCACCTCAAATCTTAACTACATTGTACTGCACTGCGGAGGTGGAAAGGTTTAATGAACTTGAGGACACCAAAAGATAATTTAAAATTTCTTTTAATTAAGGCATCACTAAGACAGGCGTTGTCAATAAAACTTTATTTACAATAATTATCAGATTTTGTATACACACTGATTCACTGTATATTGCTAACAACAGCAATACCTAATCCAGGAGAAATTTTTACTTTTCGATACTTGATGATATAGTCTGAGCAATAAGAGACTTTGAATCATAAAAGGATATTCCATTAAGTTAAATTCTGTGGTACAAGTGGAATGAAATATGTTTTCAAGGAGAAAAAGAAAGGATCAATGTAAACTTCTAATTGGTAAAAACCTTAACTATTTAAACAGATGATGATGGGTAATAAATTGCCATGGTATTCATAATCCATTCAGACCATTTAAAAGATTTCTGTAATCACTTTATTTTAAAATGTCATAACTCATCAGAACTTACTTTTGTAACTAACTAAACTTACAATAAGAACAATTTTAGCTATTAACTTAAAAATGTGTGAGGGAAATACAGTTCTTTTAGGGGGCATCCAATTTTTTTTTTAAGTGTGGCCCATTCCATGGGGCTCCCGGGTGGCTCATTAGGTTAAGTGTCTGCCTTTGGCTCAGGTCATGATCTCGGGGTCCTGGGATAGAGCTGCTCAGTAGGGAGTCTGCTGCTCCCTCTCCCTCTGCCCTCCCCCCACCCCTAGCTTATAAGCGCACTCTCTCAATAAAATTAAAAAAAAAAAAAAAAAGTGTGGCCCATTCCAATGCTCCACACACGGCTTTTCAGTGCTTGGGTACGCTGCACTCTCAGCTTCCGTCCTCAGGATACGAAGTTCTCACTTGGGAGGTTCTTCCTCTTCCTCTTCTTTCTAGCTGTCGCCTAGCTAACTCCACCATTAAGTTTCATTTTAAGTGTCACGCTGCTTGAGAAGCGTTCTTTGTACCCAGACTAAATGAAATCCCAATACCTGTTCCCATAGTACCATGCATTTCCTCTTCAGGTAAAACTCACCCCACGCACAACCCCTCACCACACCTAAGCAGCAGAAAGGCACAAAGAGAGCCAGTCTTTTCACTGTTCTATCCCAGTGCCGGTGTATGCAGGCCACGGTAGCTGTACTTCTCTAAAGAACCATTTTTCTAGAGTGGTAGAAAAGGAAGTCAGACTGCAAGGGATTAAAACAATGTACGAGGTAAGGAGGTAGAAGCAGGGAATGAGGGTTGATTGGAGCTAAGAAGGGGGTAAGTGCGCAGAGGGGAGAGTGAATCTGCCACTGTTACTAGGAAGAGAGAAGAGCACAGGACTAACCAGGTAGGCACGGCTGGGTTTGGATATAAATGGGGACAAGAGAAACTTAAGCTCTCAGAACTTTACCACTTGGTGATGAACAGTCACTGGGGCGTAATTCACGGAACGCAACGTATTTCCATACGTCACACATATTCACTGACGTCATGCATACAGATCGTAATGTGAACACTGAGCCTGCTTTATCTCTTCATACATTTTCTCCTAACTGTAGGGATGTCTGGTCTCAATCCAAGGAAGCATGAGTGGTATTGGAGATGCACACTATCCACACCCATGACTTTTGCCCTCCAAAAAGAAATCTAGTTTTTCTCACAGGCCATTACTTTCCACAGAAAGAGAGGGGAAACCCTGTTCAAAGTCTTTCTTTTGTGTAATGCTTCCTGTTGGCAATATACTGTCCAAATACTTGTTCCTTGAGAACTCTATTCACCTGGCTTTGTCTCCTAACGTAACCACCTACCAATCATGTTACGTGATGTCAATCACATATACTCACAGAACGTAGCCACTGTCCTGGCCCTTGTTAGAATTTTCCATTAAAACAGCTCCCTGCATAAAGCTACCCCACAGGCTTCCGTTAAGAAAAAAAAAATATTTTTAACGAAAAAAAATTTTTTTTCACTTAAAGCATTTGGCATTCTTTGGAAGTGCAATTGTCCCCAGAAAACGTTACACATTAAACCACTTTTACTGAAGCCAAAGGGCAGTAGAAGGATCCAGAAGGTCTCTGGATCTGTTTTTACATCAATAAAACAACTGCCCCGCCTTCCTAGATTTTTGTGAAGGTCACAAAAGTATGTCAGTACTTTACATATTCTTTATGTACAGTCCAGGTACTTTTAAGTACTACCCCAAAAATGAGGCTCCTTATTAAAACAAAATGGGAAGACAGAGACCCAGGCGCTGAGGAAGTGAAGCAACAGTGAACCTGAAAGGTTCTGACAAAGTGTGCAAAGCACCTCGTGAAAAGGCTGTCCAGCTGAGCGCTAGCTAACATGCAAGTCCCGTCACTACAGTGATGGAAGAAGCGGCCTGATTCCGACCCACCCTAGTGGCGGGGGAAGGGAAGGGAGGGAGTCCTGCGCACTCGCTGGGGAGAAGGGGAAGAAGCGGGGAAGGCGGACCGTGTGGGAGCCACCCAGAGAAGGAGGGGAGGCATCCCGCCGAGCCTAGCCCTGGGTAGATAACCCGGGGCGGAGCTCTGACAGCGCTTATCACACCCTATCGTACCGGTCCAGGTTTGTCGTTTTGGCCTTCCCAAACTAAGCTTGGCAAATATTTGCTGAATGCGTGAGTCCTCCTGACTGGAGATAGCAAGGTCTGCAGCACATTTGAGACACAGGGCATCCCGGGGACCAGGGGCCCACAGAGCGTGCGAGCAGAACGTGGGGCCTGCTCTCCAACCAACCCGGGCCCAGAATCCACCTGACGGGACCCAAGACCGCCCCGGCCCCCTCCTCCGGCCCGCACGCACCTTCACCTACGGGGCCTGTCAGCCGCCACCTTCCTTCCCGCGTCTGCCCCGAGACTAAGCTTTGGAGCATGCGTAGCGGACAGACTCTGGCTGGCCGCGCGTCCGGTCGGCAGTTGCGCTTCAACTGTCAGCGCATTCAACCAATCAGAGGATGTGTTAAGTTCATGGACTCCCGCCCCCTACGGGGGACTATGGCAACAGAAGGCCAATCAGGCGGCGTGTTGTTGCCGCGGAGCCCCGCCCCCGTCAGGGGCGCTGGGTGACGGGCGAGGGTCAAGGGGTGTAAACGCTTCTGAGCTACTGAGCCTCGGAGGGCCGCGGCATCCCCTTGCCCCGCGGCCGCGAGCAGCGCGCCCGGCCCCACACTCGCGGGCCCGCCCAGCGTCAGGCGGCCGCGCGGCCCATGCGGCTGGGGGCGGAGGCCGGAGCGGGCACGGGCTGGGCGTCTCAGGTGCAGCTGGCTACCCGGAGAGGTGAGGGGGCGGTGGCGGGGCCCGGCCCGGCCCCGTGATTGGCCGCTGGCTGAGGGCAGCGGGGCGGCCTGGAGGCGTCCCGGGCGGGGAGCAGCCAGCGGAGCCTTCCGCGCGCGGCCCCGGCAAGATGCTGCTGTCCCTGGTGCTCCACATGTACTCGATGCGCTGCGTGCTGCCGGCCGCCGTGCTCCTGGGCACTGCCCCCACCTACGTGCTGGCCTGGGGGGCCTGGCGGCTGCTCTCCGCCTTCCTGCCCTCCCGCTTCTACCAGGCGGTGGACGACCGGCTCTACTGCATCTATCAGAGCATGGTGCTCTTCTTCTTCGAGAACTACACCGGCGTGCAGGTGAGGGGCACTGCCCGCCCTCCGCTCCCCTGCGCCGCACCTGCCTGCCCGCTCTCCACCCGGGTCCCCGCTGGGAACCATTCACCCCGCGCCCCGCCCCCCACCCTGGGTACTTTCGGATCGTTCACCTCTGCCTGGCAGATCCGGCCCCCAGAACACGTGCCATCACCCTTTCCTCCCACGGCGAGGGAAGTTTCACGTTCTTAGGTAGGGTTTGGTCCGATACTTCCTTGCAGCAGGTACCCCAAGATCGCTAGGAAGCTGTGGTTATGTTGTTCTGAGGCCACAAGTTGGATCATCCGCCCCCCCTTCCCCATCTTTTGTAACTACCTGTCTCGGTGCTTTGCTAAGTAGGTGCACACGAACACTTAAGTAGGGCAAGCAGTTGACAAGTTTTTGGCGTTTGGTCTCAGAAGATTGGTAATGTTTGAAGTCAAAAGGGCGCTTTTAAAAATCGGAGACCTCTTGAAACAGATGACTGTTACTATTTGGACAATAAGTACAACTTTGTTTTGCATTCTTCCCCAGTATAAGTGAAAGCTGGATGAGGAAATTAATACATTTGTTACTGTAGAAGCCTTACCGTAGATAAAACTCTTGCCAACTTATACTAGGCTCAAATGTGTGGCTAATTTTTTGTCTGATGACTTTCTGTTACTTTTTCTGTGGAGATTGGATCTGCAGATTAAATTTGTAAAAAAAGAGAAAAAGAAAAAATGTAGAAGACCCCCTTTAGTTATTTGAAGTCTCTTTTACAAAAATAACAATTGCGAATTTTCCTTTTATTTCCCAATTTGAATGAAAGAGCTTGACTCTTGGTTATTCCTTATATCCAGTTAGTCCTCTTTTTTTCTTTTCCTAGTCGGGGTTGGGTTGAAGGGAATGGGATGGCATTGGTTTTGTCTTTTTGTCTTTTTTTTTTTTTTTCCTGGAGCAGCTGTTTTCACCCTGTTGTCAACCAGCTACTATTTTCAGGTTGCAGTTGCACTGCTGTGGATCCCTGATGACTCTGAGTTTGCCCCAGTTGGAGGTTGTTTGGGGGAAGGGAAGTAGGAGAAGCCAGGGCCTACATTTAAACCGGTATCTGTAAGCGCTTCCTAGAAAAGAAAGATTGCTTTTCCAGATCATGATTTCCTGTTAATTGACTTTTAAAATGGGCTTCATTTAAAATTTTCACTAATTCAGACCAATCATTTTCCCCCCTTTGCTCTTATTTCACAGCCTTTGTCTAAATGTATGGTTTTGTCATGATTAAATATTTAATTTCACATCAGATGAAAATTGACCTGGACTAGGATATAGACAGAACATAGGACAAAGTCAGTTACCTTTTAGGAAAATAGTACTACCTCTGGTGGATTATTTCATTTTTGTTCAAAGAATATAGCGTGTTCCATGCAATATAATGTATAATATACCAGTGAAGTACTATGTGTTTAGCAAGTTTCTTATTTTAAAAATGATTGTAAAATTTCAGTGTTTCTAAATTGTATGTCTTACCTTATACCCTGTTCAGTGTAGACCTCCAGTTTAATTTTTGAGTTCTCAGCACATGGTTTTTAAAAAAATTGAATCTGTTGATCGTCAGTGGACAGTCAGTTCCAGAATTCCTAACAAACTTTAAAGAACACACATTAAATAAAACTTTGAATTACACTTGAGGGCCATCAGATATCCTTTTATAAATGCATGAATGACAATATCCAGGATAATAAAGGAAAGGGAATTTATCTATAAGGACATTCTGTCACCTTATTCTTAGTTTTACTTACTAGTTTTCATCAGTGACTTTGTCATTGTAAAGTTTTGATTAACATTTTGTCTTGTTTTTCTTATTTTGCTAGGGGACTTTTTTTTTCTTGAATTGTTTTTCACCTCTAATTGGCAAAGAACAGAGATGGTCCTCATCTTTGTTCTGTATAAAAGAATGTTGATTCATTTCTGAAGAAGTGCTAGTAATTTAAGTTTTTGGATGAAAGGAAGTTCACCATTAAATTATATACACTGTAGAGTTATATTTAAATTATCGGTTTTTCCACCCCCTTCCATTTGGTGACCAACAGTTTGATCTCTGTATTTATGGGTTTGTTTCTTTTTTGTTTGTTTTGTTTTTTAGATAACACATATAAAGTGAAACCGAACGGTATTTGTCTGACTTATTTCACTTAGCATAATACCTTCTAGATCCAACCATGTTGTCTCTGATGCCAAAATCATTCCTTTTTATGACTGGGTGATATTCCAGTGCGTGCGTGTGTGTGTGTGTGTGTGTGTGTGTGTTTGTGTTTGTGTTTGTGTAGCACGTCGTCTTCATCTATCAGTGGACACTTAAGTTGCTTCCGTATCTCAGCTATTGTGAACAATGCTGCAATAAACACAGGGGTACATGTATATCTTTTTGATTAGTGTTTTTGTTTTCTTGGGGTAAATACCCAATAGTGGAATTACTGGATCAGGTAGCATTTCTATTTTCAATTTTTTGAGGAACCTCCGCAGTGGCTGCACCAATTTACGTTTCCACCAGCAGTGCATGAGGTTTCCCTTTTCTCCACATCCTTGCTAAATGTCTTTCTGATACTAACCATTCTGACAGGTGTAAGGTGATAACTTATGGTTTTGATTTGCATTTGCCTGCTGATTAGTGATGTTGAACATAAATTAGAATTTTTTTAAATGGAATTTTTAATGCTTTTTAATTTTAGGTTTTAAAAAAGAAATGGCTCATAGTAGTGTAACAGAATATTTTTTTATGTATAGAATTTTTAAGCTGAAGAGAAGTAGGTCCATGAAGTTGGTGATCTGTGTTTGGCAGGTAAGCCAGTTCAGCATGTATACTTGAATGTTCCATTGGATTCTAGCTAAATATCTGTTCTTTCCTATTTCCACTACTTTATTTTCACACGCATTTTTGACACAGGAGAGCATTTCAATCACTGTTGCTAAAATTTTCGTTTATAATTTATTCTTTTAGGTTCTAGAATTTTATTAGTACTGAAACAAAAAAGGGTACCTTCACCATTTACTTTGGAATAAGCAATAAGGATTTTAAAAGTCTCATTTATCTCACTTAATTTGAGATCCATTGAAAATCAACACAAACCTCTTTATTATTTTGGGGCACACGGATTCAAATAACTGTATTTCTTTTCTGTTGCTGCCATAACAAATCACCTCAAATTTAGTGGCTTAAAACAAGAGAAATTTATTCTTACAGTTCTAGAGGCCAAATGTCTGAAATCAAGGTGTTTGTTGGCCTATACTCCGTCTTGAGGCTCTAGGGCAGTCTTTTCTTTGGCTCTTTCAGCTTCCAGTGGCTGTGGGCATTCCTTGACTTGTAGCTATATAATCCACAATCTGCCTCCGTGATCTCATTTCCTCCTCCTCTTCTGCCTGTCGGATCTCCCTCTGCCTTTCTTTTATAAGGACGCTTGTCATTGGGTTTAGGGCCCACTCAGATAATCCAGGATGAGCTCCCCAAATCAGAATCCTTAGCCCAAGACCCTTTTCCCAAGTAAGGTCACATTCATAGGTTACAGGCTTAAGACATGGACAGTCTTTTGTGGGGGTCACCATTCAACCTAGTCATAACTTAGTCCGGCTTATTCTTGGAGCTGGAGTTTCAGGAAAACTTGTGGGAAGGTAGAAAGAAAGAGGGGCATTAACTGGCAGAGGCAGCAGTGAGGATTCCTGCAGGATGGATGGTGATGCAGTTACTATAACCTCGAGGTGAGGGGAAATCAGATTTACCATAATTTCTATCCTAGGATGCTGTCCCGAATGTTGAGATTTCTGCATAAACAATCATTGTAATAGTTATGATAGGTAATGAAAAATCTTAACATGTTGTTTTGGAAGCTGTTAAAAGTTAATGTATTTTTTTTCTAAATATCAGAATTCCTTTCTCATTATTTAAAAAAAAAAAAATTCTCTTTTTCCTCCTTCCAAAGGAATGAACTAAAAACTGATCATTGATATTAGCAGGGCAAAAATATCTAGTGATATAATACATGCCTCCTTATTAACATGTAATAAATATTTTAATCAAATTTTTTTCCTGCTTAAATCCTTCTGTAACACTTGGAATTTACTTTAAAATGTATTTTACATTAATGGCCCTATCTTCTAATTTGCTCTTTCTCAAATGCTAACATGATAGAACAACAAAATGTGGACTTTGAGAGAAGATAAATTTAGTTTTTCAGCTGACCTACTTCAAGTATAAAATAGTTCAAAAAATACTGGAAACAAGATAACAGAATTTAAGCCTAAGATTTTGATTTTTTTTAATATGTTCAGTTAGAATACTCTTAACTTCTCTAATAATTCATACTTTTAATTGAAACATTGTTTCAAGTTCCTTAGGAACAACCAAGGCATTCATATCTGGAGACCATTTATAACTGGTTCTTTCTATAGCACTGTTTCATCAAACATAGTCCTAGACTCTCAGTTAAATTTGTATTCTGCATCTTGTGGTGAGGGCAGCTAAACTATTCGAATAAAATATGTTTATTTAGAATGGGAGAAGGGACCTTACAGGTCCACCTCCTTTTTACCACATCTGGATTCTGTCTGCATTTCTGCTAAAACGTTGCCCAGAGTCTTCTTGAATATCAGTAGTCCTAAAGAGAATATAAATACTTTGTATCCTTAATTTCCTTTTTCTCTGCTTATTTATCATCCATGTGAAGACCTTAAAAGACCTGAGATTACTTCCTTCAGTTTAGCTGGGGCAAGACAGAGCCAGGCAGGTTTGGTTGTGCTTCTGCATGTGTGTGTTTAAGAATGACAACAGCCTTTCATAGAGGAAATTAAACATTTCCCAAATCAAATAGGGTTCCAGTCTAACACATTTTAAGTCTGGCCAGGGAATAGACTTATAGGAAAATTTTAGAAAACTGTAATTAGAACCTTGTTTTTAGGGCACCTGGGTGGCTCAGTCGTTAAGTGTCTGCCTTTGGCTTAGGTCATGATCCCAGGGTGCTGGGATCGAGCCCCGC